GAGACCACCTCTTCTAGGCGGTCTCGGCTTGGTTGTTTTGTTTCGATTCAGAGTGCGATTATTGTGTTCACATATGACCAAACGAACCGGGCCAAAAGGAAACGCCCCTTTGTTTCGGAACAACGTCTCCAATCGATCCAGGTGTGAAAGCACCCATAGACTGTAACCACTGATGAACATATTCAGTTTGGATGAGGGGAAAAAACTATACCGAGGGCGGATTAGAACCCGTAACCTCTGACACGCTTGGCAAAAGATCTGCCACTAGACCACTGAAGTACTCAAACAAAACTTGCGGATCGATTTATATCACTAAATCATTATAACCTAAGCAGTTATTCAAAAAGTTTACACGAGCGTATAGGTAATATTTCCTATGTCAAAACTAGGCAAAATATAGTCTGAAAATTCATTTGAGCTCTATGATCAGAAAAGGAATTATATAACACTAAACAACTTACTCCGAGCTTGTATCATCGGCGGGGTCAATTCGTTCTTCAAAATGCAGCCGTTCGTCGTGAGTTTCAAATTCCTCTGAGGAAAAGGTGAATTTTTCCCTGCTGTAAATAATCCTCTGAAGGAGTAGCGTGCTGCCATCCTCAAAACGCGAGGAACTATCAGTGATTCTGAATCTGATGAAGAAACTTCGTGTTGTTATGGCATTGATCAGGGGGCGTGCCGCGTGTGCGATGCATAGATCTCCTATTTACCATGTGAAAAGCTCTGGGGGCGTGGCGGCCTCAGCTAATTAAAGATAATGAAGGGAGAACGAAAAAACTGTACCTCTCCTTGGTTTCAAACGGATTACATAAACTGTATATATATATTTTTTTAAATAAATTACTTCATTTAAAAGAAGAGAATTTCAGCTTCGTAAAGATACATCTCTCGGATCTCTGTGACAAGTATTGACTGAGTTACAGTTAATTTTTCGGACGCGTTTCAGAATGGACTTTACTGACAGAGAGAAGGCAAAACGCGCATCATGTTTATTTTTCTTTATTTGACGAAAAGCACAACACTTTGTTTTTATTGTGAGTATCCACAAAAAAAATACACTTAATAGGATCGATTGATGTATAACACTTATATGTACGATCAAAATCAACAGAGTATTTTGAGTCTCTTTTGCACTGATAAGGAAAAAAGCGAGCAGATCACGCCGGCGTGATTGCCGACCCCCGATTGATTGTTTATGTGAACAATGAGCATTGTTCCCTCTCCTTGCAAGGGTGTCAAAGTCTGGACAAAATATGTACAGGGACATGACATTACTGCCAGATTCAAATAGTACAGATCCACTTTTGTGACACGACTGAAGCGTGGTGTTGCAATGCCTCCTCTCAATTGTACATTAATGGGTGTTCCTCAAGTTTACCGCTATGGGTGTGGTTTTGAGCCAGCGGACAGTCTAGAACAAAGGACCCTCGAGAGACTTCCCCGCATCTCCATGTGCTCTACTTCTATTGGATAGTCGCGTCGCGTACAACGGATTCATTTGCATAAAGATGGGCATCGGCCAGCTTTTTTGACGCGCAGCATTTTTCCAAATGCAGCGCCGCCTTCCCGGGATGCTTTGCGGGCGCGTTAAAGTTGCTTGACGTCACCCATAGGAATAGTGTGGAGTGCGGCGCGACAGAAGTGTTGCACGGACAAGTGGATCCGCACCAAAACTGTGCGTTTGCGCGTTGGCTGGCTCTGAGCCAGAGATGGACGCGCTCAGCGGAGGGACGGAACAGGAGGGACAGACCAGAATGGAACAGGAGGGACAGACCAGGGCGGGACAGGAGGGACAGACCAGGGCGGGACAGGAGGGACGGGACAGACCGGGACGGGACAGACCGGGACGGGACGGGACAGGACAGACCAGGGCGGGACAGACCAGGGTGGGACAGACAGACCAGGGTGGGACAGACAGACCAGGGTGGGACAGACAGACCAGGGCGGGACAGGAGGGACAGACCAGGGCGGGACAGGAGGGACAGACCAGGGCGGGACAGGAGGGACAGACCAGGAGGGACAGACCAGGGCGGGACAGGAGGGACAGACCAGGAGGGACAGACCAGGAGGGACAGACCAGGAGGGACAGACCAGGAGGGACAGACCAGGGCGGGACAGGAGGAACAAAACGTTTAGGTTTGGGAGGCCAGGGCGGCTCGCAGAGTTCGGGGGGCCAGGGTGGAGCAGGCTGTGGAGATGGCCAGGGCGGAGACTTTCCCTCGGGCGGGACAGGAACAGGCACCCGCTGCTCAGGAACAGACCCCCGCTGCTCAGGAACAGACCCCCGCTGCTCAGGAACAGACCCCCGCTGCTCAGGAACAGACCCCCGCTGCTCAGGAACAGACCCCCGCTGCTCAGGAACAGACCCCGGCTGCTCAGGAACAGGAACAGTCTCTGGATCGCAGACGTGACGTGAACAGTCTCTAAATCGGCAGACGTGACGTGTCGCTGGGGTGGCGCCGGCAGGGCGAGCAGCTCGAGCGGGGCCGGCAGAGCAGGGCGAATGGGCGGCGCGGGCAGTGCAGGGCGACTGGGCGGCGCGTCAGGGATGGCAGTCATCTCCGGGATGGTCTCTGGGTTAGGAGCCACCGGACAAGTCGTTGAGGAGACCTTTCTCCTCCGCCGTCTCTGGACCACCGGAACCGGGACAACTGGACTCGGGACCACCGGACTCGGGACCACCGGAACCGGGACCACCGGAACAAGGTCCACCAGGACAGTCACGGAGGGAGTCTTCCTTCTCCTCCTCCGTTTCGGGACCACCGGAACAGGGACCACCGGACTCAGGACCATCTCCCTGGCAATTCCCTCTCGATGACGAATGAGACCCTCCACCATCGCCTCAAAACTGACCCAATCGAAAGCTCTTCGGATCAGCCCGTCCATCGGCTCGTCAAGCGCATGATTAAACAAATCCTTACGAGCCTCCTCGCCAAGGTTCAGCCCCTCAGCTGTGCTACTGAACCTGACGGAGGGAGACTAGCTCCTTAAATTGGAGTATCCGCTCCCATTGCAAACAGGAGACTGGTTGCGCACCTCCTCTCCGCTGAGTCCTCATTTGGTCGGTACGTTATGTCACGGCTGGTACAAAAAATGTGCGAGGACTCAAGTGCAGGAGAAAGATCTTTATTTACTAAAGAAAACAAACACAAAACAAAACCCACGAGGGGGAAAACACAACTAATAAATCCAAAACAACAACAGAACCTGAAACGTGCTGGATGATCAGGGGGAACGGTAAACATTAGACAACGTACCGACACAGAATGCAAACAAGAGGGGACTTAAAAAGGGAAACTAATCAGGAGGGAACGGGGGCCTATACCATGAAGCCGGTTTAGGTGGCTAGCCAGCTATGTTCCAGTTTAGTTTCCGCCAACCCTGGGTTTTACGTACTATGAAAGTAGCTCGGCTTTAATCGGTCTTCTGTGGAAGACCGATTATCATAGTATCTTACGCTGCACGGCTAACCGGCAGGTTATGTTCTGGATTCAAGATCTCAGACTGAAGTTTGACCAATCAGCTGTGAGCAAAGAAAAATATATAGGTGACGTAACTAATTCCCAGCGTCTGTTCTCTGTTGCAATGGCTTCACCTTTTCTCCCAAATCCTGTGGACATCTCCGCGCAAATTGTTAGACGAGCACTTCGTAGAGAAAGAGTTTTTAGGGACAGACAAAATCCATTTGACTTTCCTGATACTTACTTGTATGAAAGATACAGATTTTCCGCGGAAGGAATGTCTTATCTTTGTGAACTTCTTGAGCCGCACATAACAAATATGACTCGTTGAAGCCATGCACTTACTGTACCGCAAATGGTATGTATTGCGTTGCGTTTTTTTGCAAGTGGTACATACTTGTATGCGGTCGGTGATGCAGAGAATCTAGGAAAAAACACGGTCTGTCGAACCATTCGCAAGGTGGTCCTCGCTCTCCAAGGGTACATAAATAGCTTCATTGTGTTCCCTGGACATTTATCGACCATGTCCATAAAAGAGGGCTTTTATAAAATTGCCGGTAAGATATCTTGATAGGGTGACATCACATGAAAAAATTGAACCTTTCACACTAATTTTTTTCTTCTTCAAAAAAGCATATTTCACACTTAGAAATCTATTATACAATAGTCTGCATTAGCTACCTGTTAAGAATTTTAAATATATATTTTTAATTCCTATGATAGGATTCCCTAGAGTCATAGGAGCAATAGACTGCACACATGTTGCAATCTCCACAGCTCTAGGAGAACATGAGGCAGATTATGTGAACAGAAAGTCCTTTCACAGCCTTAATGTTCAGGTAGGGCTATTATATAGCCAATGTGAAATGATTTTTATTTGCATTGAGATCAATATTTAAATTAATAGTAACTAACAGATAGGACAATTATTTACTGTACATTTCATCTGCAGATGACTTGTGATCATGAATGCATGATTACAAGTTTGGATGCCAAATGGCCTGGCTCAGTGCATGATTCACGCATTTTCCGTGAGTCTATTTTGTGTCAGCGCTTCGAGGAAGGCAAGTTAAATTTGGTACAGTACATTTTAAAGTTTTAATTTCAATAGCAAAACTTACACAATTTTCCCCTTTTGTGTTCTATGACAGGACTTTTTGATGGCCTGTTGGTAGGAGATCGAGGTTATGCATGCCAGAGGTTTTTGCTAACCCCCTATCCTGACCCTCAGACAGGGCCACAAAACCGCTTCGATGTGGCCCTCAGTAAAACCAGGATCAAGATCGAAATGACCTTTGGCATCCTAAAGGCACGTTTCAACTGCCTTAGGCATTTAAGAGTGTCACCAGAGCGGGCATCACAGATAGTGGCTGCATGTGCCATTCTGCACAATATAGCCACTATCAGAAAGGAGCGAGTACCACCACAAAACCAGCTTCTCCCTGATGAAATTGACCCCATCAGACTTGACCACCCAGCTGTCAGAGATGCAATCACAACACAATATTTTACTTAATAAAAGCACACTGACACTGCAGATAGGTCTCAAACTGTTTTATTGGTCATGTGGCTAGGGAGGAAGAAAGAGAGCAAGAAAATTTACATTAATAAACATTCATAGTGTTCATACTAAAGGGTTACTTGGTTAAAAAAAAGTTCACATACTGAGATCTGTTTTTTCCAGCTGTTTGATCTCCAATTTAATTTTTTTAATTTTGAGCCTCCTCAGTTCACAGTCCAGCTCCTTCAGTGAACAGTCTAGTTCTAGACTCCTTTTGTAAAGGGCCCTGACTGAGTCTGTTTCCACCTGAAACAATTCCACCACAAATAATCATTACACGTTTTCTGGAGGTTGATCAAATCACAAAAAGTGGCATGACTTTTTACAAATGTAATTTATGTCAAGGGTTTAAAGCATTACCTTGTTCACATTCCTTCTGTAGCCCATTGAGGTAGTAGAGGCTTCAGTTTCTGGGGCAGGTTGTGAAAAATCCTACAATAAAAGAAATGTGTAAGGGCCAGTCACTTAATTATGACATTCAAATGTGTGGCATAATAAAAAGCCCAGTGCATTCACCTCAGCAACTGTCTCAGAACACACAGACAGAGTGTCTTCATCATTTGGTTCACCCTAATAAATAAAAGGCCAATGTAAAGCATAACTGTTGTAAAACAGGTTATGTTCATAGTGTTCTGTCTGCTGCATACTGACCTCTGTGTGGGAGACTGTGTGCATGTGTGCTGGCTTCAACAGGGACACTGTATTTCCCTCTACTGCAGAACAGAGTCAGCCATATTTAACTCTTTTTAAAACATTAGTAATGCATTGCACACACATACCCAGTGTCACTTGCTTCGAGGAGCCAGCACCAGGGTCAGACTGTACAGCACTTGCAATCCCATCCATAATCGGCCGCCCCTTATTGTTACTCAGCGCCAACTCCTCCGCCACAGTGTATTCTGGAGGAGGTGGCCCTCCTCCAGTTTTCCTTATTTCACACTTTTTTCTGTTTGCTGCAAACAAGTGTTTGTGATTAAATGTTCACAAAAATAATAAAAGGTTTTGGTAAATATATTTATATTTTGTCTTGATCTGCTGCCAAGAACGTTTGGAGTTGGGGTTGCATCTAAAAATCAATGAATATCAATCTTTCTTAGGGTGGAAGTAATAGCCTATACATTCACATTTTACATACATCTACACACACGCACGCATGTATATATTAGCACGAATAAACACATTTTCATTTTAGCATTTAATAAAAAAAATTATATGATAGCCTACATAAATTTACATTAATTGTTTAACTTATTCTTCATATTTCTGAAGAATAATCTCTTGCTCCTGCGCGGAAAAATATATAGCTCTCGCTCTATCCATATCGAACGCGATTGGTTGTTCAGTGTCGACGTCACTCTTTTATGTGTACGCGCGGGTGGAGTAATCATAGCTTAAGGATCAAAGCCTGAATTGACAGAGAAAGTTGATGAGCTGCGTCATGGTACCAATAAAGCCTGATTGCAGCGGTTTGGTTTTGTCGACTAAAAACCAATCCTGTAACCCCGAGTTTGTTCAACTACCATCATGGTACAGGCCCCGGGTGGATGAACTCAAACAATAATCAGATAACAAGGGGGAGGGATCAGACAATGACACGAGCACATGGCCCAAAATAACAAAACACCCATGTGCAGCACAAGACAGGACAAGCATGTGACAATAGTAGCCTATAGTGCATAGGGCAGATCAATTAGAGAGCACGTAGCTCTAACAAAACAACAACAACATAACACTCTATTCAGTGCACATTTAAAGGAATGACATGTTAACTGAACGAAATGTCGTGCCCTGAACAAAAGGCTGAGTTCAACACCTATGTACATAACATAACGTTTAGCTTCATTAAAAAAAGCAACATTGCATACATTCTACAAGTCTATAGTGCATATTAAGCCTACATGTAAAGAAAAGAGTCGCCTGGGTTTTGAATTAAAGATTCTGATGATCTCGTCATAATCCAGTGTTTTTATCAGTTCTCTTTTAAAAGACAACAGGGTCAAATTGTTCAAGCGTTCAGTCAACATTGATGCTCTCAAGCTAGTGTTGAATCCTGTGTGTAGCGGAGAAAAAAGTGGTGGATCCTGGGATGAAGGCAGCTGAAGATCGCATTATTCCATAGGTGTCATCTTTAAAGGAGCATTTCACTCGTGGGAACATTAATCTTTATTGAAAGTGGGTCATATGTTGTCGAAATGTAAAATAAATGTAAAATAATAAATAAAATATATTTTATAAATAAAATAAATAAATCTTTCGAATTTGGTGCCTTCTTGACCGAGGAAAGACAGAAAGTAACTTTAGGGCACATTTGTATGAAAGACAACAACTCCCACAATGCACCACATTGCAAAGCTCCGCAAGCCACTCCCACTAATCCAGAACAGCGCCTATGAGGTAACCGCCTTTCAGAGAAATCACTCTTCCATCTACAAGGCTAGGTACCACCAGAGCTTGAAATTCATTTCACACAAAATTTCTAGTTAGTTGGCAAACTCATTAGTGAATTACTCCTCGTTTGTATTTCTTTCGAAATGGTGAATTGCATGATACCAATGTTCAGTCAGAACATATGCGGTGCGAAACTAGGATGGTTCACAACACAAACGTCCGTGTGCTCGTCTGACTCAGAGATTTCGTCCAGGAGGAATTGCCATCGTTGAAATTCTTTGCAGCAGACAGACTCTATCTCTGTGTCTGTAGGCGCACAGTGAGAGCACAGGCACCGCCAGTCCGGGCTCCTTGTCTGCGACGGGCAGGTCTTCTGCCTCCTGTTCCTCCATCAGCCTCAGCTGCTCTTCGCTATATTGCGGCTCTTATCAGACTTTCAAAATCCTCTTCTTCCGTTATCATATTGAGTAGCTACATTTGGCCATTGTCGTAACTTCACATCTGGCTCCACAGCGCCTGTTAGCTTAGCTTCCAAACAAGATTGAGGTTATTGTTTTTAGTTTCAGAAAGTGAAGTCCCACCCACTGATCTGTAATAGGTCTGTAGTGTGAGTGGGTCCCACCCCCTGGAAAAATGAGGAACGAGTGTTTGAAGTCTCAACCCCTCTACAAAGATATGGGACTTCCTCCATAGAATGATGCAAAATGACGATTTTTACATCATTATAAGCAGGAACTGCAACACTGAAATCCTTATTTCTCCCGTCTCAGGGGAAAATGAGGGAAAAATGCACGACCATTCAAAAATATGACTGGGATTCTAACGATAAAAGCTTAATTATTAATTATTTAAACTTTGCAGGCAGCTTTCGTTCACGAGACATTATCACATCCCAGCATGCTATCTCGTATTTATCCTTCAACCCCTCCGTCAATCTGAGCACTTTGTTAAAGTCACCATCTGAATCATCTCGAAAAGTGGCAAGTGTGGCTTTCAATGTTTCGATTAAGGAGATGCAGTCTGTTACGCAGATTGCTGGACTGAGCAGCCCCTTTGTGGCAAAAATTGCTGCACTGAAACATCTTGCAAAACACAAGCATGAAAATGAACTTTTTTTGTTTGCATTTGTTGTAATAGGTTATCTGCATCTAGTTGTGTCTGTCCGCTTGTCTCCGAATACTCGGCAAGAGCCTCAAGTAGCACGTCTTGCCTTTATGAATGGAGCTCCACCTGGTTTCACATGACCTTTCCAGTGCCTTGCATCTGCGTTCTGGATGCATTTCCTTCTGAAGCTCCACAAACCGAGCGTGCCTCTGGGACCCAGTGAAGAAGTTGTCTATCTGATTGATGACAGTGAAAAAAGTACTGACGTGTCCAGATGATTCCACAGCAGCACAAAGCACTAAATTCAGTCTGTGGGAATTACAGTGTACATAGACAGCTTTGGGATATGTCTTATTCAAGATAGCTTGAACACCTCCTCTGTGCCCAGACATGACCGATGCCCCATCAAAACAGAACCTGACACAAAGATAAGGGTCCAATCCAAGTTGTTCTAGGATTTCAAGGATCCTCTGTGATATTCCTTGAGTAGACAGGTCAGCTGTTTTGACAAAACCCAGCGCGCGGTCTTTGATTGTCCCACTATGGATACATCGAACACAGACAGCAACTAGCTCGCATTTAGAAACATCTTTAAACTCATCTGCAAGTATGGAAAAATATGTGGGCCTAGGCTGTTCTTGCACTCAGTTTTATCTTCCTGAGTAGAAGTGAAGCGGCAGCCTCAAGCTGCTCGTCCTGAATGTGGTGGGACATGAGTGTGGCAGTTAAACGAATCGTTTTTTTATTTCTAGATCATACTTCGATACGAACTCGAATAGCTCCAAAAAATTCCCCTTGTTTAACGCTTTCTGTGTTTCCCGTTGCTCTCTCAGGGGTATCTCCATTTTGGCACACTGATCGATTACGTTCAATCAACGATATGAAATCTCTTTGCATCTGATTTAATACAGTACCGCTGCCTTGGTGCGCATGACTTTGTTTGTAGGAGAGTAATTTTACAAGTACAGAAGCATACACCTTGCTAGCTTGATTCTTCTCACAGACCTGCCCAATACGTTTCCAATTTTTGAAATCCTCTTTAGTAAAAGTCACCTCAGTGTGCCGTTCAGGAAAATGCCTACGGGCTTTACAAAAAATCAAGTCTTTCGACTCGATATATTCAATCCAGTTGAACCTTTCATTCCACTTGACGTTGAAGCTTCGATATTTCCCATCAATTATGGTACTCGTGAATGCCTGTATATGAGGTTGGGTAGCAGGTTCCCCCAGAGCTGACAGATCCGACGGTGCAATCAAGGGTGACAGTGATCGTCGATTAGCCAAGGGAGTGTGCATAGGCAGATCTGCTTGCCGGTTAGCATCAGTGGAGGTCGTTGGTTCGGAGTTGATCTCCGCTTCATTCTCAGAGCCAGCATTTGTTCCATAACGATCCACAGACTGGTCCTCCAAATCATTGTTGTTCTCAATACGATTTTTTTTTTTTTTAAATGAGTGAGTGCAACTTGTTTAGCCATACTAAAGCAAAATCAAGATACCATGATGGATGACCCTTCTAGCAAACGTTACAGCCGTTCGCGCCAGATTGCAATAGTGCTACACCGCTGTTGCATTGACCAATGAAAACACACCAACACCTGACGCAACACACTTAACTTTTTAAATAGTTATCGTCAGGTTTACTTATAATTTTACTGTTTTTAACATGTTATAGATAAAATACACCACATACAGTACTAATAAGATGTTTAAATACAGAGATTTTTTTTTTAATTTCTGATTGGGAGGGCCAGCTGTCAGTGTGAA